CTTCCTTCCTTCCTTCCTTCCTTCCTCCCTCTTCTCTCTTTCTTACTTCCTTCCCTTCTTCCCTTTTTCATTCATCATTCATTTGAAAAAAGCCGCATATTCCAATGAATAAAATAATATTACCACTGTCAACCGCCATGCATGTCTGGTGACCTGACCATATTTAACCCATATCCCTGAGGCAAACATACAATTATTCCGTGGCCACTAAAACCTATCTTTTCAAGAGGCTTTTCAATAAAGAATTCTAAAATATCACCTTATTTTAGTCCTGGCTACTTGTTGGAAGAATATTCTAATTTCAAACTCTCTGTTGCTCATGGTTAGCTCCGATTTTGTGTAGAATATCAAAGGGAGCGTGAGAATAATCAAAGAGAAAGAAAAYGGTATTGCTGGGTTACTTGCCTGTCTCATGCAGAATGTTCATCACGTGAAACACAAGTTTTTAATAACACTCTTTCTAGCTGACAAAGAAAGAGTCAGAGGCTGAGGCAGAGGCAGAGGCAGAGGCAGAGGCAGATGGTTTTTTTTACCTAATCAATAGTAACAAGTCACTGTTGATATCTGTTATGTAATAGGATGTTTAAGATCCGGTATTACCTATAGACCATATGGAAAAGGGCGTATCCCTTGAGATACCTTAGTTCACCAGTTATAGAAGACATCAATTCTTTCATTAGAAAGAGTATATCGAAATTAGTGGTCTTGCAAAATTTCAGGCAGTAACATTAAATGATAAAAAGCTACAGCTGTTTGAAATTAGAAAGGTTTGTATGGTTTGTTTGAAGCAACAACCAAGGGCCTACCATGCAGCCTCGGTATAAAGTTTTCGGTACATTTCAAATAATGCTTATAACTCTTCAGGTATTTAATATATGAGAACAAAACTTTCCGAAATTACTAATTTAGACATGGTCTTTATTGTAATGAAAATATATTTTCGAAATCATTTATTGTTCGTGGAGCACGCTCCCAGTCTTACAATCGTTTTTCACATGGTCTATGATATACAAAACAGGATAAGTTCTCAAAAGCCCTTTTTACAATAACTCATAAATTTCTAGCGCGCTGATGATTTTATTTTTTATCATCAATATGAGGACAGGCAGATAAAGCTGACTTCAACGAGCGCGCGCTCTTTCTGTTAGTTGTTTTGATCAGTAAGACGTTTTTATCGTTTTTGTTATTGTAAAAAACAAATTCATATCAGATTTTTATGTGTCTGTCCTCTTATTGACGATAAATTGCGTCATCACATTGTCAAAGTAGTATTCGGATCCACTCGGCGTGGTGATGCCAATTTGTTAATTTCTCAAGTGTACGCGCGCATATTGATAGCAGCACCAAAGCAAGGCAATCGTAGCTTGCCAGAAATCCAAGATGGCCGACGAGTCTATAGAAGTTTGAGTAAACAGCAAATTTTATCAATTCCAGACCAAGTAATTTGTAAGATTTTAAAAAGTTAAAGCTCAAGGAGCTCAGAAATTTGTGTAAAAAATAAAATTTTGACCACAATGGAACTAGAAGGTAAGTAGAAAACAGAAAACCGGCAAGTCACTATATGGGCATACTATATGGACACCTCTCTATTACGAACACTTTATTTGGTCCTGGCTGGACTTATGTATTCACTTATAAACAGACCTCTATAACGCGGACACCTCTCTATTACGGACACTTTGTTTGGTCCTGGCTGCACTTATTTACTCATAAACAGACCTCTATAACGTGGACACCTCTCTATTACCAACACTTCCTTTGGTCCAAGATGCACTTATTCACCCAAAAACAGACCTCTATAATGCGGACACCTCTTTATTACGGACACTTTCTTTGTTCCTAGCCGCATTTATTCACTTATAAAGAGACTTCTATGATAAGGATACCTCTCTATTTCGGACACTTTCTTTGGTCCTGGCTGGATTTATTCACTTATAAACAGACCTCTATAATACGGACACCTCCCTATTACGTACACTTTCTTTGGTTCTGGCCGCATTTATTCACTTATAAACAGACCTCTATAATCCGGGCACCTCTCTATTTCGGACACTTCCAAACCTCCTCCCAGTCAACATAGTTATAAAACGTAAACGATCCCTAGTTTGTTTTGTTTTGTTTTTGTTTGTTTGTTTTTTGTTTTGTTTTGTTTTTCATAAAATATTGAAACTAGTCCTCTCTATCATGCCTTATTTAACTGCTTGTCGGTTTTTAGAGATATTTTAACCACGAACAACTGACACATTTTACGGTAAACACTATGTACTTATCATTCTCATTATCAATGAACGACACAAATTAAATGAATCAAAACCTCAGATTACTCTTTCAATTCCTTCTGCGCTTTCAAAAATATAATTCTGGATTCTTTGTGCGTAAAAAAGAAATGCTGTTATAACTCTGAATAACTACTTCCAGGAGACAAAACTATTTTGGCCGTTTCTAAACTGATTAATACTGCTGTAGCCAAAACAGTCTGGGAAAATTACAACGATAAATATAACCAAAATCAAATATGTTTACGAATTGATGCTGGACAAGCAAAGTTTTAATACGGAAAATGCGCGAAGCTTAGAAGAAATTATTTGCAAGGACAAATGTATGGTTGACTAGAATTTAAATCAGGGAATCTTGCTCGAAAAAGAAAACATATGTCATTCACGTATGAAGAAAARATATATAACTTCAGCTACTTTGTCAGACTTACCCGTAGAAAACTTCGTTTCTTCAATGTAAACCTTGACATGGACGAACGATTTCCTCGAATAACTGGGTCCAGTTCAGCTGTGGGAATAAACAATATAAAACGTGACCAAAAAAATCACACCAAAATCTTTTAACCGATTATCGGCGAATATCAGAGTGATTGTTTTACTAGAAATGGTTTGTACAAAATACACGAGTCAAGAGAAAACGCATACAATTGTTATTGGGTTTAGAGGTCAACACGGTTATTCGAATCGATGAATTCTAATGATTAAAAAAAAGGGGAAATAATCAAATACTTACTCATGTTTGAGTTGGGAATATTTTTCTTGTAAAAAGTAATTGATTTTTTCACCAAACTTTCGTCAACATGGCACTCGTGGGATGTTAGAAAACCCACAAGATCTTAACGCTTGCTACCGACTAACGAACGATTTTTTCTTTCTGATTTAAAGCTAGAATAAGTCTTGGCTTACTTCTTGGATGCATTATAATTTTGATAATAAGCGTATATTAATTCTGTAGAATATGTCGCATAAATTGGGTGCATAAATATTTAATAAAATTCATCAATGCTAGAGACAAAGAAATGTGGTCACCATCCGCGAACTCACTCCAGCGTTTTCAAATCCGACCTCGATGAGATAAAAAATGAGGAAATTCTTGGTTTAGGTATGCAAACAGTCATAAATCGTTATGATAGTAACAAGGGCGCTTTTGGCCGACTTCCAGTTATGGTCAAGAAAATGGAACATTTTTCAATCAATTGAGCTTGTTTTTGAGATATATAGATTACTCCTGCTGACAAATAAGCTATCCGGAATAATAAATCTACCAGCGAGAATGAAATATATAATGAGTTTTTTGTATTGTCTAGGCTCACCAGGAGTAATAGAGGCAATCAAAATTGGCGGTAAATCTCTGCTAAGACACAGGGATCCCAAACAGGGATTTCGAATAGCAATTTCCATGGATGACGTCACGATTGTTCATCCTGGGATTCAGGCCCCGTCCACACGTACTCGGAAATTTTTGTACCCGCCAATTTTTTTTTTTTTTGCGGATACGGGTTGTGTCCACACGTGTCCGGAAATTTTTTTTGTATCCGTATACGCAAATTTTCGAAAACGGTCTCCAGAGTGGAAATTTTTTAATACGCTCCAAATACGGATATGTGTGGACGGTCGTATCCGCAAATTTTCGAATACGCTGTCGTGAACACGATTTTGCGCATGTTTAATAAGGAAAACTATCCGTCAAAGGGACTAGGCACTAGCGTGCATCAGSGCGGATCAAGAAATTTCCGGATACGTGTGGATAGTGAAAACGATTCGAGAACGATTCGAATACKCTGCGTGTGGACGCGAACATTTTCGTATCCGCAAAAAGGGTAAATTATACACCGTAAAAAGATGAAAAAGCTTGCTGAMGTTTCGGACTCTCGTCCTCTGTCGGAGTAAAAGATAATRTAAYAGAGTCAGGTGTTTACAAAGTTTGTCCGCATATTGATCGGCTTTGCGATATCTCTGATTTTTAGTAACCGTTCAAAAAACGCTATTTATGCACGAAGCGTATTGTATGRCCTTGGTTAATGCATTCGCATACTTCTATGCACGAGCTTTTTGCTTCCAAACGAGCTTTGACAGGCGCGTGTGATTGAGAATGGCTGTAAAGGTGCGGACACACGGTGCAACATTGCACGCAACATTGCAAGCAACAAATTTGAATCGGGGTGACACACGTTGCAACAAAATSACGCAACATCGCTTGTATCAGCCTGCTATGTTAAGATATTTGCTCAGCAGTTATAAATTTGGTGCAAGCTGATTGGCTGAAAATTTCAAAATGTTGCACGCAATGTTGCAGCCATGTTCACAMGATGAAATTTGTTGCGCGCAATGTTGCAAGAGTAGAGCGCGACTCAACTTCAGATTTGTTGCATGCAATGTTGCGTACAACAATTTTCGGGGGTAGACACACGCTGCAACAGTCCTGTTGCGTRCAATGTTGCACCGTGTGTCCGTACCTTAACAAAACCAGGTGTTACAATTTTTGCAGGATCTCTTTTTCGATTATCTTAGTTTTTTACGYTTTTAAAAAGCTKCAAATATTGGATATTGACAATATTTTGTTTYGTGCTTCCTGTATATGAAGTCATAAGGCACCATATGCATGCAGTGTTGCTTAGGCATCTGCGATTYATATCGATCGAATTGATATTATCTCAACGATAAAGATCGGCAGTCRATGTCATAATCTTTTGGGATACCTGTGTTCTTATTATCAATGACGTCACTGGCAACCTCTGCAGCTGTCTCGACAAAGTCGTATCCAAATTAACRAGTTTRAAGCAAAACAAAAAGGCAGACAAAATACCAAGAAAATAACTATTTTCCGAAAAAAAATTCAGTTCAAATTCATAAGAAACGTTTTATGAATTTTGGGTGTTATGAATTTTGCTTTTTGGTCCAGTTTTGTCTCTAGATTCTCTCCCTTTTTTGTATTATTCCTATTTTTCATGATTTTTTAGTCCTTCCCTATTTTTTCTAGTTTGTGTTTAGTTTAGAGATACCGGCTATCGCCAGTTTTATATTCATGATTCKTGGTTTAATCTTGCTTTCTAGATTATTTTATCATTTTATCATTTCTTTATTGCAGTTTATTATTTTTTCTTTTTCTTTTTTGTTCATCTAAAAATTGTGCTCACCTAACTAAAAAAAATAAAGAAATGCTTACGCTTGTTTACCAAAAAACCMCGTAGAGGAGTTAAAAGGAGACTCTGCTCGCAGGGTACAAAAAAAGTCACATACGCCTTCAAAGTGCATCACACTTGACAGCCATAATGACAAAGAACAAAAACATTATATAGTCAATGTTATCAACGTTGTCCACCGAAAAAAGATATTTACGCATTTAGACATTTAGAATAAAAGAAATATCATGTGTTTCCTCGAAGGTTCTGGCATAAAACAAACGCTGAAATACCATTCTCCACCTTAAATCCTCACTAAATGGTCGGGGCATTCTGGATTTTCGATTCACGAGTTGAATTTTACATTTAAAGTTCAGGCTCACTTTAGTCTAAATGTGTAAATGTGTAAATGTGTAAATGTCTAAATGTCTAAATGTCTTTTTTCGGTGGACAACGTTAATGACATTGACTGTATGTGAAGCGGGGAAAAAAAGAGCGAGTTAGATTCATTACTTGCAATTACTCGAAACGTTACTTAGCATGACACATGAGTACAGACTAATTGTATTTGTATTGATAGTAGTTTTGAGGGTTTAACTTGCATTATTCATTAATTTCGCATAATTGAAGATATTAAAGATAAGTTTTCGATCGTGAAAACATTTAAGTATGGCTTCAATTTAACTAATTACATTGTGTTCTTTCGTATAAATTTGACTGTTATTTCACGCACTCATACAAACTTTAAGTTTCACTGGGCAAGTCTAAAATCACTCAAAAATACAACAACTCGAAAAATATTAGCCAAGATTTTAAATATCATTTTTTATAGTTGGTAATTATTCGATNCTAATAAATAAAAAATTAAGAACGATTAAGTAAATATAATGCAAAAATGAAAACGCGGAAACCTTTTTTTTTTTTTTTTTTTTCAATTTCGTCAGTCTCGTCAACTTTGCTGTCAAATTTAGGCTGTCTAAGTTTGAAAATGATATTGGTAAAGTTTAGAGCAGAGATATCAAATAAGCATATTATTAATCATAATTAACGAATCTTCTCTTTGGAAATAGAGAAATATGAAGTGTGATGATAAAACGGACGTCAAAAGAGCTGGACAAATCAAAATATAATTCAATGATCAATCACTAATGTTTTTCTCAGCCAAGTTCGAGCAAATTAATTCACATCTTCATTCATCTTAGATGATGTTTAGATTTTCCTTTCTGTTCTGTGTGTTTTCTTGGAGCAAAATAAAATTTGAATCAAATAAAGATTGAAATATAAACGAGTAAAAAAATAGGGATTATAAAAAATCAAATTCAAAAATCAATTAAACATATGTTTTTAGTGATCAGGCGATTGACGTGTTTTTTTCCTTCAACATTTACATCCACAAATTATGGACCGATACTAATTTAAAACCCCTTTCTTTCTTTCTTTCTTATTTTTTATTTATTTAGTTTATTTTGAGAATCGTTTAAGCTGTGGCCACAAATTTATATGTGATTGCGTGGCTTGTTTGGACTTCGAGTCTGTTCTCGGCCTGTGTAAAGCCGAAATAAAAAAGTGAAAATGCAAAAACAAAGAAAATTAGACCATGATTAGTTTGGCTCGAGCTCGCAGTATGCTTTTTCTTGTGAAAATTATCAGTAAGGGTTTAAAGTCTAACCACAAAGTAACATTACCAATAGACAAATATTCACTGTTAATGGATTTGTATCTAAAGCAAGCACTGAAGCTACAAGAGCAATAYTTAAAGCAATTTCAATTTAGAATAATGAATTGCTTCTTTAACTTACAGTGACATTCGGAGGTTTCTTCATGATCAGTCAACAACGAGACGCGATTCTGAGTCGTCATGTTACTCGTAAGAAAGAAATATCAAGTAAACRCTTTGAGAGGATTTGGAACTTCTTCAGTTGTGAGAAGAGGCTTATTCTGTCTGCATATGTTATCCTTGAGAAAACTGACACAATGCGAAAATAACAGGCAACGATCGCGAGTCTTATTGGCTGAATTCTCAAGATGGACTAAGGTTTGCTTGTATTGGAGGCAGCTGTGCTTTTGGTGAGCTAATATCAGGCTGGCTCCTCGTATCCTATAGTGCGAAATATAAATAGATAGAAAATATTAATAGATAGATAGGATAGAAAACTTCCAGGGAGAAAAGTAGGGAATCGGAGCGGGGAATTTTAAGGAATAATGATTTGCAATATCCCAGTAAGAAGAAGAAGAAGAACAATAAGAATAAGAACAAGAACAATAATAATGATGATGATGATAATAATAATAA